ATGTTGCCCAATATTCTGTGTATATAGATGCAGGGCTCCCAACGCATCAGCACCAAGAGTCTTTGGTTATTTGGTACCAGGACACTGAGAAGGAACAGGTTTTCATTTCACTGATCATCCACAAAAAACATGTTATGAAATGACTGGATCCTCTCTCAATGTCATGGGGTGTTGGTTAATGGATTATATGGAGTGCCTCTTTTAAAAAAAAGCAAAGGTCCACACAAAAAATCTGACCTGTTTCTCCCATGTTTTTTGTTTTTGTTTTGTTTTTTCATGTTTTGCTGCACCTTCACATTTTGTCCATCATTTTACTCTTCCAATCAAAGCGTGGTGCCTAGCTACAATGTTTCCATATATAAATATTGAAATATCAAACCACCGGACTAGAATTATTGTACTTAGCGTACGCACAGCATATTACAAAAATAGTGTAAACAACTGATTTGAATTCTGGCTCCATAATTTATTGCCTTAGAATGTACATATTGAAGCTTTATGTTCTGTTGGAACACGTTCTGTAGAGCAGTGGTTGTTCAAAGTGGGGGAAGCAGTCCCCTAGTTTCCCAGAATATTGGAGGGACTATAAGAAAAAAAGCAACATAAAAAAAATATAAATATTTCATGAATAACCATTTGACCTAAACCGTACAACACGTAAACTGCCGCAATCTTCGGATTCTCTAGTCTCCGATGGTACCTGAACGTACCTCGTGTGATAGCTGCAACTCCGTCACAATCTGCGTAGACCTGGCGGTTTGTTCCACCTTTTTCAAAATGTTTAAATACCCATTCAGTGTACAAGACGTGTTTCTAACAAGCAACGCAGCTCTGACATTTGACCAAATTGGTTTTGTTTGTTTGGTTTTTTTTGCATGAGAGCCTGGGCTTTAAAGTGTATTACTAGATAAATATAAGTATCTTCAAGAGATCTCATAACACTAATACACGATCAGCAATCCCTGGTATTTCTCCACCTCCACAGTGCCACATGGTCGTGGCAGCATACTGTGTTTTGAAAATGTGTCCACATTTTTGTATCTCCTCCACTAATGCAGTACCCTGTATAAGCAGTACTTTATAGCTAATGGTGAAATGTGACAACATTCAGAGCTGAGTCCCGAGGACACCATCTATGACTGAGGTTTGAATAAGACCAAATTGATGAACATTGTTTTCTACCCAGTTAGAGCTGCCCACTTCAGTAGTTCCCTTCCACATTTGAATAGAAATACATTTTGTCCTCTCATCAGTTCAACTAAAAGTCCATAATGAACAAATCTACATCTATTTACATGTGCCAATGAAAAATGTTGGAGGCTGGAGAAAGCCTAATTAAAGTGACGCCAAACAGCATTTGAGTAAAAGGATGCTGATGAATAATTGATCTTAAAGCATTTTTCTGCACTGAAGGGAAGTATTAGCGCAGTGTTGCATGAATCTGTAGTGCCATAATTTCCCTGACAGCAAAGTACATTCTTTTTGCTCCCGTTATTAACATTCTAGTATATATTTTCTGTACAGCCAATTAGCCTGTGTGCTCAAGCTATAACTGAGAGACGGCCAAATAAAAAGAAACATTTGTCAGAGATGACAAGAAGCAACCTTAATGGAAAATCTGTAACTCTTACAGCAGGCATGCACCATCAGTACAAATCAATACAGATTTCACCAAACTCATCTCAGGTGGTCTATCATTTCTATGTAGAATGGGTCTAGACTAGACACTGCAGAGAAATGGTACTGGTACTAAAATGCCCTTGTCATGATTGAATATTTATAGGTTGTCATGTGCAGGCTGGGAAAATATATTTCCAGTGCAGGCCATTCATTTATATGCCTTAGAATGGATTTTGTGTAAATGACTGGGGATTTTTTAGTAAAGTAACTATCTCTGAGCTATCATTAGCACTTCTGGGCTAAAAAAGCTGTGTGGCCCTTTAGGCTTTTTCTTACCTATTTTATGACTTACAACTCAGCAGACTATAAGCGATTTATCAAGCTGACTGTCTGCAATATGTTTTAATCCCTAAATCAGCTGTTTCTAAGTAACTTGCTAAAGCTAACACAGTATATGCTGCTTTATACCCACTATATCTGCTCAGCCCTTTGTTTGTTCCTTTTCAGACTAATCCCTCTTTCAATGACACTAGCCTAACTTTGACCCTTAATCAAAACCTTTTGGTCATTTTTTTATTTACCGATCTAAATTAAATGCTAACGTCTTTTGTCAACATTAAGTTAGGTCAGTGGTTCTCAGTTATTTTCTGTCATGTCTCCTCTCCGACCCACACCTCTGCGAATTGAAATACTAGAGAGAGAACCTAATAGCGTATATTTTTATCTTTACAAACCACTGTATGAGTTGCTGCCACCTAGTGACTGGAGACTAGTGCTTGTACTGAGCTATGTGGAGTAATATTATGGCTAATTCTTTTTACATAAAAAAAAATAAAGATAGTTTGTAGGGATGCACCGACACCAATACCAATATCACTGTCAGGACCAATTCTTCATTCAAATATTCATGCACTGGAAAATGTGCCAGTCCAATGAACTGATTATTATCTGTTATCCTTATGTGTCGATGTAGGTTAACAATTTCAGCGGTTCCAAGGTATTCAAACATCAGGGACAATGACACGAGCCATGCCTCCCTAAAGATTTGTTCTGTTACGATACAGGCTGTAGTAAAACATCTAAAGATGTGGCTCACTGCAGCACTGAATACACTGATGTCTCCAGTAAAAACCTCATGGAAATAGTGCTACTCACTTTAAGTGACACTCGCCTTACTGCCGCGGTGTACAAACTTTTTACAAAGACAGAGAGATTTGTTGAAGTGAACCGTTCTGCCTGACATTTTTTAACCATTAAAATACAAATTAAGTTTTTCATGTAAATTTTATTTCAAACGGCATAATTTTAATCTCAACACATGGATGACAAGTCTAAACAGATCTTACCAAAATCACTTTCATCCTCTGAATCCATCTGAAGACCATACAAGATGAAGTAAAAAAAAATTCTAGGAAGCTGAAATTTGTGTGTATTGTGTGTGCCAGCGTCCCACATGTGATGGTTGTATAAGATTTGACCAAGGGTCACAATTGGCCCCTGGGCCAGACTGGACAGAAGTAGACTGTGTATTCAATTGTAATGCACCATTGGTGTGAAACAGTGGTTGGCAACCGGCGGTTCTCGGGCTGCATGTGTCTCTGTAAACCATTGAAAAATGAAACCATTATGCTATATATATATATATTATAAACTTTAGAAAAGAATTTGCCTTTAGCCTTGTTTTTGTTCGATTTTGATTTCTCGCTGCACTTTCTCAACACATCTGCACGGTATTTCACCTTTCATCTTAATGTTAGCTTTATATCTATGTGTAAGTTTAAGTTGAAATACAAAAACACACGATGCACTGTGGCATTTTCCCCCCAAACCTCCAAACATCTCTGACTTCTCTGTAGAACTTCTAATTCTAAGTCAGGCAGTAATGGAGATGCAGAACATTTTAAAATCCAAAATCCCTTTTAATTCAGTCAGCAAAAAAGTGTGATATGCATAGTAGGAGTCATACAAGGCCTTTTATCATTTCTGTGCACACCAGGTGCAGTCAGTCAGCATCAACACAAAGCTAAATATTGAATAAAAGTGTGGTTTAAAACTGAGTACAAAAACAATCACTAGATTCAATCAGAGCAGTTCATCTCTCCATGGACTCTGACATATTTGTGGTCAGTGCTGTTTAGTAAAAATGGGCTGAAATTCTGATATGTCCCCAGCATTATTATGCTGTTCTGTTCCTCTTGATCCACTCTTCCACCGTCATGACCTCGCCTTCAACCTCTTCCTCATCTTCCCACAGAGAAGCCCAGTCTTGGCCTGTCCTATCACCTTCTATCTCTCTTTCCATCACCCCTGATCCACTTGCTTTCTCACTCATCTCTGTCCCAAGATTGAAACCCTCATCCAGTGTGGACTGCCCTCCAGATGGACCCAGTGGGTCAGAGTTGAAACCAGAGAGCAGACTAGAGCTGCTTGTGCTCAGGGTGGCAAAAATGTCCTCCAGGAAACTTGAAGCCCCCACCTCTGGCTCTCTTTTGTTGCTAAATGCTTCTTCAAAGCTTAAATCTGTGGAGCAGTCAGTGGCGTCAGAACATTTGGCACCTGTTGGCACAAATGCATCTTCTCTCTGTGCCAACTGCAGCACTTGGCTTGGCATCCAGTCTGACTCATCCCACTGATCGCACTGGTAAAAATCAGTGCACACTGACTGGTTTCGCTGAACCTTATCTTCACACAGTTCTGCAAACAGGTTGTTGTTGTTGTTGTTGTTGTTGTTGTTGGCATTTGCATTCTGTTCTGGTGCTCCCGCCTCATCTTTTACAGTGAATTCCTCCTTTGGTTTTCCTTCCTCTTCTAGTGTTTCACCTGATACTCTCTCCTCCTGCCCTGTGTGTCCATTTACTCTCACTTCCTCCACCTTCTCTGCACTTTCCTCCAGCGATGTGCTTCCCTCACATTGTTCTTTCTTTGCCTCACCACTCTGCACCTGAGAGTCCATTTCAGAAACCACTAGTGCCTCAGCCTCAGGCCCACTGTTTGATTCTTTAGTTTCTTGAGTGGGAGCAACACTCACTTCTTCAGCACCTGCCCCAGGGGAGGCTGGAACCTCTTCAGACATTTGCCCACTCTCTGCTGAACAGACATCGTGCGGCACCTTGTCAATTCCGTCCACTTCATTTTCTTCTTTGGCTGCAGGAACATCAGGCTTCACAGGTTCATTCTCCGGAGCACAGCCCTCCTTAGGAGGCCATGACGGCTTTACTAACTTTATCTCCTCCTCTATAGTAAAAGGTTTCTTTGGCTGATCCATTTGTGGAGGCCACACTACAGCAATCTTACTCGTGGGCTTCATTTCTTGAGCAGATGAAAATATAACTTTCTTTTCAGGTGTGGGTGATCTGATGTTTGTCTTTTTGGCTGGATCCTGAAGGTTTTTCTCGTTATTCCAGAGTTCTTTGTGAGGTTTCTGTCCAAAGCCCTCGTCATAATTCCCTCTGGACTTGAACAGCTGGTTGTAGTGTGGTTTGCAGTACATTCGTCCATGGAGAGAGGCATAGTTGCCAAGACTATAGGAGGGAAGAAGCAACAATAGCAACAATGTGTGAAATGGTGTAAATGAATCGACACATCACTGTGGACTGTGTCAAACAGCCTCACCTTAATTTGCCTTTGCAGTGTTCACAACGAAAGCAGCTTTTATGGAAGTTTTGTTTGTCGGCCATCAGGGACTCCATGGGGTAAACCCTCTTCCTGCACACCCTGCACTGTTCGGACTCTGGAATTCGAATTCTCTGCAAAAGAACAATGTGATTTAATATGGAGTACCCTTAGTTCAACAACACTGAAAAACTCACATGCAAGAAAACATGGAGCCATATGGCAATAAAACAAATAATATTCACACAAAAAACAACAACAGGCACAATGCAGTTAATGGATCTAAAATTTAAAAATTAAAAATAAAGAAATTAAATAAAAAATAAAGTAGTATTACAGTACATTTTTTTAATTTATTAGGTAAAATCGACACATACCAAAACACCAAAACATTTATATAATGCTACAAATCACTGAAGCCATTTTTCTAATTAGGCAAATTCATAAAAAATAAATTTAAAATTGAACTAAAATGTTCATTTTCTTGAAACTAGCCTAGATATTACAAAAATAAGCCTATGGAAAACATATGTTGAAAAAAAAATCAACAAAATGCTGAATGTCAGCTCAGGTATTATACTGTATTAAGAAAGAAGTCACTGCAGACTACAGAGAATCACTGAGGTATTTGGTTTCCGGTCAAGACCATAAATATTCTCACTAAGGTCAGTTCATACAATTAAACACACAAACACACGCAGGCATACGTTTAATATGTTAGCATCAATGCCAGTTTGAAACAGGGAGGCGGATGAGTACACGGGTCAAACTGCAACCTGAGAAAAAGGTGTGAAAGCCTGAGTGTTAGCAGTGACACTTCAAATGAAAGCACATCAGTGATGTCACAACAACGTGACATTTTCTTTTTTGTTTCCAACACAATTACAAGTTAATCACGCTTGGTTTATCGTCCTCATGCAGCACAGCCAGGTTTACCCGTCACAACAGTCTCCTGTGTGCGAGTGACGATCTGTGAAGTCCTCTGCTCTGTCACACTGTAACCCAGGTTCTGGAAAACTCCCCCGGACTCAGCCCATGACTCCTGGAAGCTTCGGAGCAGCTCCTCGGTGGAGGCATCAGGATGAACAGCTACTGTTAGAACTTTGCCTTTCACCACATCAGCATAGGACGGTGGGTTGCCACGGGCCAGGGAGCTCCCAGAGTGCACCTCACTACTCAGGGTTTCTTTAGCAATGCTTCCATCTTCATCAACTCTGCAGGATTGTTCGGTGAATACTGTGGCTTCAAATGGAGCAGCTGGTTTGGTATAAACCGATTCAGGTTCTCTTCGTTCTATTTGTTCTCGGAGCTCTCGCGCTGCCTGTGAGCTGTGTTCGCCTGTTTCAAAGACATTTTTAATTGCTTTGACATTGAAAGTGGGGATGTCGTCGGTCTTCTGGGTTTGTAGATCAGCCTCTGCGTCCTCTGTGTCACTGCCGAGTCTTTCTGCAATGACTATGGGTTCTTTTCTGGCAAAGACTTTAGGCTTTGGGGATTCAAATTTATTCACCAGCTTGGACAGGTCAACTTTTGGGAGATCCTCCTTCATAAGATCTATAATCACAGCTTCCGTACCCTCCTCATTGTCTGGGCCGAGGCGCTCGGGGATGTCAATGGGATCCTTGCGAACATATGCCCTGCTCACCTCTGCCTTTTGTGCTTCCTCAAAGAAAGACTTCTTGTCCCTCACTGTCTTCATGGAGTCAACCATTTCCGTAACATCCGCCATTCCTTCTTCATTTTTCTGCATGGGTGAGCCACTGTCTCTGAAAGGGGAAGATTGCTCTCTTTCAGCTGCAAAGCACTCGTATGTGGTCACTGTATGTTGAGCAGGGATGCTGAATGAGATCTTTGAGGACGTATCATGTAGTTTGACCAGCTTCTCTGAGCGGCTGAGAGTGGGAGAGGGCGTAGCCCTGCTAAAGCTAGATGTGGGTGTGTATGTCTTGCGAAGAGGAGGCGGCGGTGTCCCGATGGATTTGTAGGGTGGAGGTGATGGTGTCACCCTGAGGGGTGAGTCCACTCTCCTTGATTCAATGCTAATGAAAGTTGGTGATGGAGTACGGATACTTGCCAAAGGAGAGGACACTCTAGGATCAGGCGAGTCGCTCACGGCCTGATGGAGTTTGCTGCTCTGAAGTGACTTTTTCTCTAGCACCACCTTCTGTTCAGATTTAGAGCCACCAACACTGATCTTTGAGGCAACCTTTGCAGCTGTGGCACTGACAACTTTCTTGTCTGGTTTTGGAAGCACTGGTGGTGGCGCCGGTTTTTCTGTTTTCTCTTTGTCCTGTTTTTCAGCCAATTTCAAGTTTTCCATTAGCACACTGAGCTTTGCTCGAAACATATTTTTTAGGTAAAAAACAATTTCTTTCAATTTCTTTTTACTTTGCTGTTTGGCAATTTCACTTAGATTCTTTTTCTCATCTGAACCTATCGCCCATTCAGCCAACTCGCTTATAATCATTCTCACAGTCTTGGAGTCTATTCTGCTTGGGGTGCCCTCCAGCTCTTCTATTTGGTTGAGCAGCCTCTGCATGACATTACATTTCTCTGAATCTGTGATTTCTTCACTGGGAGCCTCATCTTTATGGCCCATTTTCCCTGCACCTTTCACAGACACATATTTGTGCTCGCCTTTTGAATTTCCGAACTTCGCCTGAATTGTATTTGTCTCTGCTGTTTGCTGCTTCAACTGCTGTGTTTGCACCTGAATGGCCTCTTGCCTGCAAAGGTTCTGCTCACTCACGACGACCACCTCCTCCTGCCTCTGAACAGCCTCTGCTGTCACGCTCTGCTGACTGTGGGAGACAGATACATGGCCTTGTCCTTGATGAGTTGCTGCAGATGTTGCCTTTGTCACCTTGGGCATTAACACAGTAACAGATGGTGACAGCTTCACTTCAGGCTCATTTTTCTGCACCTGCTTTGTCTTTTTCACACTGACCTCCACGTCAACTTTCTTTGCTGGAATGGTGACCTGGCTTTTGATTTCTTTTTCCTTCATTTCTCTTTCCATCTCAACTCTGGCTGTTGTTCGCTGCTTACTTTCCTGCTGTGACACAGAGCGTTTTTCTTGCTGAAATTGCATTTCACTTTTTATCACATCTGCTTGTGGCACACAATCACTTCTCTCCTCCTTCTTCTCCGTTGGGATCTTAAAGGTTTTTACCTTGAAACTTGGTGTGACTTTTGGAATTTTAGTAGGCAAAGAAAGGCTCTTCTTCTCTTCTAGTGTCACGGGTACATTAATATTCTTCACATCTTTAGATTTCAGAGCGACAGCAGGCTTGCTTTGAAGATTTTCCTGGACTGCACTTTGCACGGCAGCAATTGACTGAGTGCTGAAATCTTTCACTGAAGAAGTGACCACATGTGACTGTGACTCAACCTTGACACTGGAGGCCACATGATGTGACTGAGAAAAGGTCTGATGTTTAGATGCTGTTTGATTCTTTTTGACAGCATCAGCAGAGGAGAGTATGTTTTCTGTGAGTTGCTCACTGGCATCTTGCCTTTTTTCTGTGGACACATTTGAAGATGCAGAGATCAAGAGCTTGCTCAAAGGGATCTGGGAAGGTGCTTTCTTGGCAGGTATGTGTTGGGCCACAGTTTCTTTTTTGGAAATGATCTTAGCTCCCTCCGCCTTCTCTGTTCGCCCTTTTATGTCCACGTCTTTCTCAGTGTTTTGTGCCACAGAAGATTCAGTGTCGTTTGCAGAATATGACATGTTTGCCGGTGGAGAAGTGGGAGTAGTGACTGTACTCGTTTCCATCTCTTCTTTCTCCACCTTTTGTTGGCGAAACCTTTCCTCCGCAAGCATGAGAGGGGTTTTGAATTTGCGGGCATAGGGTCTGGCCTTCGGAGCTGGAGTAGGATCAGGAGGTGGAGGCAGTTTGATGGGAGGGACAAACGCTCTGGGTTTTGGTGCCGTTTTTGCATCTGGAATATCTGGAATTGTTTTCACAGACACGACTGTTGATTCAGACTGAAGTTGTTTATTCATTTGAGTTTGTTGGATGGTTTGTTTCTTTATTTCCTGCAATTTACCTTCCTTTTCTTCTTTATTGTCTGCTGAGTCAGTGATTTCTTGGTGAGGAGATGGCTCAGGTGGTGGAAGTGGAGAAGGCTCTGATTGCTTTTTTTGCCACTTGGGTTTCACTTGTATTGGCTTTTTTGGTGTTTCTGGGACAGCGGGCACCTTAAATAATGGTCTGCAGATGGGTTTGACCAGCTTTGCAGGGGTTGGCTGTGGCAAAGCATTTAGCTCTTGCTGTGAAGGAGGAGGCGGGAGAAAATCTTGACTGCCTACTGAGGTCGGAGGGGGAGGAGGTGGTGGAGGAGGAGGGAAGAAGTCAGACTCAGCCTTCATGCATTCCATAGGAGGAGGAGGTGGCGGTGGTGGGAGGTCATGGTCTTGAATGTTGAAAGGTCGGACTGAAGGTGGCACTGGGGTCTCCAGCACCGGTGACGGTGGTGGAGGGAGGGACAACTCAGACTCTGACCGTGGAGGTGGTGAAGAGGGAGGAGGAGGGAAGGGAATTTCTGGTTTTGCCTTTTTTATCATGCCCTTCCCTCTGATATCAAGGGTACTCTGCTCATCCTTTGTATTTTTGATGGTTGTTTTTTCAGATAGAGTCTTGTTTTCTGCCATTTGTTTCTGGGAAGTTGAAGTTTGCTCTGACCTTTTTGTATTTTGCATATTCTGCTTCTGTGTGACACTTCTCTCCACCACTGTGTTCTGCACATGCTTTATTGTCTTTGTTTCAGACGTTTTCTTTGAAACACTCATCTGTGAAGAATTTTTTGCCTCTTTTATGACTTTTACCTCAGCTGTTTGCTTCTCTGTGTGATCATCCACAGTCCCTGGTCTTGTCTTTATCATAAAAGGCTTCTGAGCTGGTATTTTCTGTGGGGGCAGAGCTCTCTGCTTCTGTTCTTTTGTGTTCTTCTCTTCAGAGGCCCCTGAGGTATTCTCTGTTTTGGCTACAATAACTGAGTGGTCCTCTTGGGTTATTACCTGTGTTTTTACTGATTTGCTTTCACTGTACCTCTGCGTGTGCTTCTGTGCTTCACTGCTGTGAGTGAGGTTTTTCACAGCGGGGGATGGATTGACTGCTGCACTCTCACTCTTGGTTTGAGGTTTGCATTCAGGCTCCACTTGCTTTGCAGCTGCTACTTTTTTCACAGGTACTTTCACCGTCTTTGGAGCATGCATACGCTTTGGTTTGGAATACGGTTTTCTCTGCATCAGATTCTTTATTGTCCCTTGCACGTCCCCTTTTACGACCTCTTCCTTTTCTACCTGGATTGCGTCCTGTCCTTCATAAAGCGACCTTATGGATGTTTTGACATCTCCCTCCATGCTTCCCCTGCGCTGTGTCTTTGGTGATGTCGTCGGTTCAAGGAAAAGCTGAATGGTGGCTTTAACGTCACCCTGTTCACTCACTTGATGCTGGTAAATCTTTTTCTCACTTGAGGCTTCATGTAAACTTTGCATGGCAGTGTAGATGTCTCCTTTGACAATCTCCTCTTTTTCCACCTCTTTTACAGCTTGCTTGGCCTCCTCCAGGGACCTCAGGGTCCCTTTGATGTCACCAGGCACTAAATCGTCAACAGTGACTGATGTATTAGTTGTAGATTTCTCCAGCGACTCAAGAGCACCTCTGATGTCTCCCCTGATAATTTCAGGCTTCTCCATTTCTTTGGCCTGATGTTGGGCCTCCTCCAGAGACCTCAGAGTGGTAGGTATGTCACCTTTTACCACCTCCTCTTTCTCTATCATCACCTTCTGGTGTATAGCTTGGGTGAGAGAATCCAGAGCTGCGTTAAGATCACCCTTAACTATATCCTTTGTTTCTACATTTTTATAGGTCACACTGGGTTCTGTCATAAATACGTTAACGATGCTGTGCACGTCACCGGGAACTATATCATCTTCAGCTACAGTGCGACCGATTTGCTGCTGAATTTTTCGCAGTAGGATTTTAGTCTCCTCGATGTCGCCTCCTATGATATGCTCCTTTTCTACTTGTTCTTGGCTCTCGTCAGACTCACTCTGAAACTGTTTTAGGTAATCCAAGGCCCCAGACTCAATGCATGTGGTGTAAAAGCTGACGTTACCTCTTTCTGTGTCCCCTACCCTTATCCGTCTGGAGTCCTCTCCACCTGAGTTGGAGAGAAGTCGCTGAAGAGTTTTGCTCACATTACCTTGAATGATATCCTCTTTTTCAGTGCTGGCTCTCTCACCTTTATTCAAAAGAGAGTAGATGGTCATCCTCACATCTCCTTTCTCATCCTCTTGAATCAGAATACCACGCTTTGAGGAGCCCTCACCCTTGAGCAGATTGTTTATGGCCTCTTGGATGTCACCATGGACAATTTCCTCTTTTTCCACATTGATTCCTCGTTCTTGGTTGAAAAGCTGTTGCACTGTGGTGTTGATGTTCCCCCTCTCGTCTTGGTCAATAATAATCCCCTTTTCAGCGCTCTCTCTGCGGTTGAGGAGGTTCATCATTATGTTGCTTAGATCACCTCTGATAATCTCCTCTTTTTGAATTTGTGGAGAATCCTGATTCATGAGTTTATACTTGGCCATGCGAACGTCCCCAATCTCATCTGCTTCAATAAGAATACCTTGTGCATTCACCATTTTCTGAGAGTACAGTTCCTCCAGTGTCTCTTTAACACTTTTACCTATTATTTCTGTCTTTTCAACACTGCCCTCATTGAATTCATGGAATGGAGTCGACTCAAACAGCCATGTTGTTGTCTTGACATCGGCCTGTGGGATTTCCTCCTTCATCACTGGCAGCTCAGGGCCATCATAGTCTTTGATACTGTCAAGTGGCTGCTTTTCAAAGAGCCACACAGACTGTTTGACATCCCCTTTCATTACTTCTTCCTTTGTCACCCTTTTCATGTCATCATACTCCTCGCCTGCATTATGGATTTCATCAATACTGCGTGTCTCAAACATCCACGTGGCAGATCTGACATCACCTTTTTTTATTTCACTCACGCTAACAGTTCTGATGTACTTCTGAGACATCTCATCAGTCTCAAACAGTTCTTTGTTTGTTTTAACGTCACCACCTCGAATATCTGCAACTGTTTTGGACTGCACTTTTATTTCTTCTGTAATTTCATCTAGGGGCTGCGTTTCAAACCTCCACCTGGCAGAGCTAACATCTCCTTTATGGATGCCTTCCTCAGTCACAGCTTTAATTACATAGACCTCTTCTGAATCTCTTATTGAATCCAGTGGTTTTGTTTCAAACAGCCACCGAGCCCCCACCACATCCCCTCTCATGACTTCTTCTTTAGTAACGGTAGTTACTTCGTGGTAATGGCCTTCCTTGTCACGTATGGCATAAAGTGGCTGGGTTTCAAACATCATGGTGTAATTCTTCACATCCCCCTTTTCCTTTTCATCTCTAAATATAGTTGTGAGTTTTGAAATATCAGTCTCCGTGGACTCCTCTTTAATCTCATCAAGGGAGAAGGTTTCAAAAATGAATCGGCCTTTTCCAACATTACCACCCTGAACATCAGTCACGGTACGGGTTTCTCTTGTCTCTGAAATTTCGTCACGGATGGCATCTATTGGCTGGTTCTCAAACATCCAAGTACAGCTGACCACATTGCCCTTTTGAATGTCATCAGTCTGCTGTGTCTTCAGCCTCTGCATTGTTTCCTCTGAGGTAGAACTCATGATGTCTGACGATTGATTCTCAAAAATGTACTTCATTCTGGAGACATCGCCTGACTCAATGTCAATTTTTGTAACCCTCCTGAAAGAGCTGCTGTCCTCTCTTGCAATATTTTCAAGATTTTCTGTTTCAAAAAGGAAGCGAGCCAGTCGTACATCTTTTCCTTGGATGTCCTCTTGGTTTACGGTGCAAGTTTTCAGGATGGTCTCAGACTCAGAGTCGGTGTGGTCGCGTATATTGTCAAGTGTTTGTGTCTCAAAGAGCCAAGTGCATGTTTTGACATCTCCCTTTTGCACTTCTTCAACATCAGTCTCATTCTTTTCCATCTTTTCATACAACACATCCATTGGCTGCGTCTCAAAGAGCCATCTACAAGTCTTGACATCCCCTTTTTCTATACTAATTCCCTCTTTAGTTCTATGTTCTTCATCCTCAAAGGTACTGAGAACTTTAATGGCATCCAGCGGTTGAGTTTCAAACAACCACTTAGCTGTTTTGACATCTCCGGACTCCATCTCTTGTTTGGATATCCCTTTAATAATCTGAAATTTATCAAGGCTGTCATCAAACTGATCAATAGGACGGGTTTCAAACATCCATCTGCAGCTTCGTACGTCACCTTTTACAATCTCTTCACGCCTCACTGTTCTTACCTCATGAAACTGACCAGAACTGTCCTGCATGGCATACATGGGGGTAGATTCAAAAAGACACTTGTTGGACAAGACAGAGCCACTAGTAACACCTTCAACCTGAATTTTCTGCGTTTCACATTTGCTTAGGTCCATATTTTCAAATCTTTCTTTGTAGTTTGTGACGTCTCCTTTGTCAAGGGATTGAATTTTCACCGTTCTTGTCATTTCCTTTTTCTCCTCTCTTATATCTTCTAGTGGCTGGCTTTCAAAGACCCACGCTTGATGCCTCACGTCACCCTTTTCCTCCTCTGATGCAACTGTTTTCTTAAGTTTTCCCACTTCTGGCAATTCTTTCAGGTTCTCCATGGGCACCGTCTCAAACAGGTGTTTTGTGGATTGAACATCACCTCCTACAATCTTTTCAGAATACACAGTTTGAGAGTTGGCATTGTCTTTCAGGGTGTCCATAGGCTGGGTTTCAAAAACCCAACAGTGTTTTCTCACATCGGCTCCAAGTATTTCTTCTTTTTCCTTCCTGGAACTTTCCCATTCTTCATCCTTGATGGTGTCAAGGGTTTTGGTCTCAAAAAGCCACCTACCTTTGTTTACACTGTCCTTCATTTCCCCCATGGATATACCACATATTAGCTTGACCTTGGCAGGGTCTTTGTTGATCATATCAAGAGGCTGGGTTTCAAACATCCATCGTGATGTCTTCACGTCCCCTTTTTCTGTTTCTTCTTTGCGGATGGTGGTGATCTCAAGCATCTCTCCAGAATCTCCCCTGATGACACACATGGGTTCGGTCTCAAACATGCGAGTGGTTGTTTTCACATCCCCCTTAATCTCCTCCAGTTCAGACCTCAGGTTTAGAAAGTTGCTTTCCTCAATGGTCTCTGTTTTACCCAGAGAGTCCAGGTGCTGAGTCTCAAAGAGATACCTGGCAGTTTTGACATCCCCTCCAGTGATATCTTTGGTGACAGTGCCATCTGTCTCCAGCTCATCCTCTTGGTAGATCTTGTTCAGGTAATCAAGTGGTTGAGTCTCAAAAAGCCACGTTGCAGTGCGAACATCTCCTCTGGCAAGATCGGTCATTTTTTCTGTCTGCTCATTTGAAGTTGTTTCATTTCCAAGAGCATCCATTGGTTGAGTCTCAAAGATCCATGCAGTGTATCTGACATCTTTGCCGGCAATGATTTCCTGTTGAGCAATATTCTTCACCTCTGTCTCATCTGGGGTTTCATCTTTAATAGTGTCTAAGGGCTTGTTTTCGAATACCCAGCGCATTGACTGCACTTCTCCTTTAAGGATCTCGTCCCACTCCACGGACTCCCTGTCGGGGCTGGAGCGTTCACTTGAGCCATCATTTTCAAAAAGATAGCACGCTTGCTCGACATCACCCACAACCTCTTCACTTTCTAAATCCTTTTGCTCTGCCTCAGTGAGCTGGTTCAAGAAGTCCGCTTCCAAGTTTTTGCGGACCTCTGGATGAATGTGCTTGTAGAGGCGCTTCACTTCAGCTGTGCTCTTGTGTTTAAAGTACTGCTCCTTACCAACTTGCCTATTTTGGATAGCTTGTTCCTTAAATTGAGAGGAAAGCATATTCTCTGCAGTTTCCTGTGATGCCTGTGGTAGGTTTGAGGGTGGTGGAGGGAAATGGTTTGACACCTCCTGAGACACTGCAGATGTTGATGATGATGTTGCAGTTTTGACAGTGGAGGAGGTTTCATGGCTTGTTAATTTTGAAGCTTTAGAGGACTGCTTTATTGGTGCCCATTGAAACTCTCCGAAATCCACATCAACCTTTTCATTAAAAGTGTTGTGGTGTTGTACAGGGGAAAGAAGGATATTGTGATGAAGTTAATAAAGTAAATGTTATTTTTTGCAACATGTTCACAATGATATTGGAAATACTAAGTATTTATTGAATACAATGTGGAAAAAAAATCATTTTTAAGTACATGCAAAAATGCTTTTCATGTCCATAGGAAAAAATGATGGAGTCTCTGATCATAGGAAAAAATAGTGATGAATAGCTCTATTCAAATAATTCATTGTTGTTGATTTGCTTGAAATTCCACCCCTACTGTTCACAATTTATTTCCTGTCAACTCAATGTGAGATTCAATAATGACGACGTCATGATGGGGCTAATACTAATATCCACAGAAAAAAAATCACTGACTTGCAGCCAACATCGTTACCTTAATTTCCTTGGCTGGTGCAGCTTCCTCAATGGTTTTTTCATACTGCTGCTTCAAAGCCTGCGTAGAAATCTTTGGTGGTTCCTCTCCTTCGACGAGCATAACTGAATTAGACACATGAAGAAGGCTGCCTCATTAAGTCACTCTCAGTGAGAAAGCCCGGCAGCACATCGAGAAGAGAAATAAATCATTTCATTAAAAACCTGAGTAGTTTTCATTTTCTAACACCATGCAGTGGTGATTGCCCAATTTTCACTCTCCATAATTTTACTTTCCTGACTCTGTACTGATTAGATTTAGTACTTTGCAATGAATAGAAAATCATCTGTACGTCATTTCCCTCTCATCGCTCATCCCTTATTCAGCCATGGACGAAAAATCATTAAAATACAGGAGAAAAGCTCTGATAGAAGAGTGCAAATTACAATAGAAATGATAAGAGTAGATCTACCTGTTTCATTGTAATGGCTCCCATAACCGCCAGTCACATTGTTATGGTGGAGTCTCTGATCATGCATCACCTGTCAAATGAAAGAAGCAAATTATTCCTGCTTTAGTAAAAGGTAATTATATCATCCAGTGCTCGAAGTCTGGATTTTAAGGCTAGGTAATTAAAGTTAAGTGATGTTAGTTATTTATATACTATACACAAATATGCTTCATGCTGTTAAACTAAAATTGAGACTTGTCTTGGCTGATTAGCATCTTGCACATGGTGCAAATAAAAAGATCTACTGCAAAGATGATAACAAATTTTCATACAGAACCTCTTTGTCTTCACAGTGGAGGAGGGTCGTGGTGGGTATTTCTACACTTCTTCTCACTATCACCTCTGAGGAGCTTGACATTTCCTATTCGATACAAATAAAATGAGGACATGACATAGAAAGATTTCTCCTAGAATGGCAGTTATGTAAATCAAAAAATACCAGTCAAAAGAAATGAAATAAAGTATTTTATTATTAAGGGAAAACAAGTAAACTATTTGATGTGAAGTGTATGCTATTTTAGCTAAGGAACTTAGGTCTGCACAAAAAGTAGAAATAATGTTTATCTTACATTAGTGACACACATTTTGCTGTACATTTACCAAGTAAGCTATTCTAAACTACTAGTTTAGCAATGTCTGGCGTTAATATACAATGGCTAATCATCACAAGCTATCAAAAGCTAATCAACTAAGCAAAGCCAATAATTGGTATAATTGTAGTAACACACACAGAAATTACAGGCCAAGATATGTTGTGGTCACAGCTAATACCTCAAAGGCAGCCTAGCATTAAGACTAGCTTGCTAGGTTGTAGCTAGTATGTCTATGTAAATTTTGAAACACTGACTGGTTACTTAGTAATTTATTAAGGTAGTCAGGTTGTCACTACTAGAGAGGTTACTAAACTTCACATTACCAACACATATTAATTACCTTAAAATTTGCCATGGCAGTTTGGAGATAAAATGTAAAAGGTAAATATTTCTGTAGAATTAGCAACATCTTTGAAACATTTCAGGTCTGTGAGGAAACATGAGCGGAAAGGTTTTCTCCAACAGCAGATCAAACAGATGTAGACGTTAAAACTCATAAATGTAATGATGAAAAAAACATTTCAAATGTATTATTTAGGCACTGTGTCCATGATTATCTCCTGAGTGAGCCGATGGGTAGGACTTTGTGGAGGCGCGGAGTTGACCTTACTTTGCTGAGATACGAACTGATTCCATAGAGCTAATGTGTTCTGGCATTTCACAGAAGCAGTAACGGCAGCCAAGTTGAAGGTTCTCTCTTCGATTTGAGCTAAAATAGTTACACGTTTTAGCTATGGTCTGGAGGTCATCTTAGAGACATTTCAGGCTTCCTAATGACTACAGCAGAGGTTTGTTCAAATCCTTAAGTCGCCCTTTGGTGCAGCAGTAGAAAATTGTGATGCTTTGCTATTAAATATGGAATGTGAACAGTTTCCTAAGTGGAAAAAATATGGCATTAAATCATGTGAAATGAAGCACTGAAAGTAAACCGACCCACTATTTTAATAATATGGTGTTTCGCAATAAATATGCATAAAGTAGAAAGTTGGAAATATTGAAATAATTAATGATGACTTGGATTTGAAGGTAAACTGGTTCAAAGAACATGTTTTGAATACCTTAAATCCTGCTGTACTGTAAGCACACATTATGACATCACCGTCCAGTAGACAACACTTCCTGTAACTTGGTCACTGTTGTACAGTCAGTTGTCAAACTAAAGGCTGCTCTAGGAGCAGAGCTGGTGATAGTGACTTAGAACATTCTACAAAAATGTCAAATAATGCTGATCAAACGTGTCTTTATTATTTAGGACATAGAATCTATATAAACCAAATTCCTCACCTGGACGGACTTCTGCTGGTAATGAAACTGGCTGACGTTGGACTGAGAAGAGGAAGAGGCAAACTCTTGTGTCTCAAACTGTTTCTTCACACTAGCCAGGCCACCAGGCAGTGAACAAGGCTCCCAGTCCTCCATCGTCTGTTAGGACATAGAAACAAAACATGATTTACTCCCACTGATCAGAGATTATCAGGCTGTGCCTATCAGTACGATCACAAATTGAAGCTAATTTAACTGACTCTAATTGACCAAAGATATTATCATTTCAATTTATACTGAAACGGAAATCAACTCGGACACGGCTTCATTTTCCTAAAGGAATGCTTTTTTTACAGTCGTGAAGCCTCCTTGTGGCTAACTGCTACTTTAGTCTTTGGGAAGGGTTAAAAATTGTCTTAGAATGGAGCCAACAGAAGAGATTGTCCATTAAAAGCAAAGTCTATTACTGTGCTCAATGAAATTGTCAATTCAATCCAAACAGTCTTCAGATCAAGGACACAACAGGAAGTGTTTAATTGCACGTCGGATTTGTGTTTTATACCTTGTGTAAAAACCCATCAACCTTGAGTCTCTGTGTTGTAAACCCCTTTGGAGCCAACAGCCATTTAACAGTGATGATCTGACCTTGGCAAGCCAATTGCTGCTTACCCACTGACCTTGACCTTTCATCATATACTGATAGAAATATGTAGTGTATGACAGCTTTGGTGTGTCTCTAATATATTTGTCATTGTAAGGCTGTTTCACAGGGCCACTCTACTGCCCCCGCAGTCCTTTTATTAAAGACATGGTTTATTACTGCATTCACACTGAAACGCTGCTTGTTTCATTTGAATGCAGTGTGGATTCGTCACTGTAGCAAAGCCAGTCAAACCGAGAGTAAACACTTTCTCTGTCAGCCTCAACCCCAGTACAACAACTACAGTAATTTACAAGATATTGATTTTCCACAGTACAAAAGTACTAGTGATGGTCGAGCATTATTCCTGCTCATTCTTGATAAATTACCTCCAGTTAGTATTTCTTTTGTAGCGTTCTTAAACTGAGATATCAAAAAATATTAAAAGAAAATTGACTTTCTGAAAAATTATCGCATTTCTGTCTTATATTCAAGCAAAGGCAATTAAAAATCAATCCGAAATATAAAAACAAGCCAGAAGAATAGTACCTACCTATCCACATATCTAACTAATAATAATTAACTAATTAACACACCTATGAACTTTGGACGTCTGGTTTGACTTTTTGCCAATGTCCGATATGCCGATATCGTCCAAACACTTTCCGATTCCAATATCAACCTATACTGATGTAGCGGAGCAATGGTGGAAGTTAAGTGTTGCCTGCTCACTAAAATGGTGGGTTAAAAGAGTGTTTCTCAATTATTTTCCCATGTACCCTCAGTACACCAAAAACAAACAACTTCTTATTTTGATTCAAATGTATCGAGGAAATACTGTAGTAAAGAGCTCATATCTGTAAAAGCAGAAAAGTACCTCTGTGATTAATTATTGAAACTGACATCATTAGGTTGTTTTCTAACAATTTTAACGATGAAATGAATAAATGCTTCATTAGTTTATGTCTCAGGGATTTCATAATAAATGTGAGCTTTGGTTCAAAATGAACGAGATTAAAAAAAAACAAAACAAAAACAGTGTCATCAGCTGTGGACTCAAATTTCCTGGTTCAGTGAAAACAGAGGTTTCCCCGGTCTATTAGTTATCGTGATGCGCTCATTCTGAGCATGTCTGATGAGTCAGCTGAGAG